GGTCGAGCGATGGGCGGGGCCAGTTCCTGCTCGACGAGCAGCGGCGGGCGGGCGTGGGTGATTTGGGCGAGCGGCTCAAGAGGGGGCGGGGCGGGTTGCAGCGCCTCGACTGAGGGCGGGGGCGGGAGGGCGAGGCGGAGATGAGGCTCGACACCTGTAGCAGACGGAGGAGGGGCGGGTACACGAGGAGAAGAGGGACGTGGTTGGGCAGGCACATCGGCCTGTTCCTCTGCGTCTGATTCGACGGGATCGTCAGGGGGGGTCAGGGTAGCAATCCATGCCATGGCACCATTGTCGTTGCACCATCAGCACGCAGTTCGATCGATCGACGGAGAGGGGTACAGCCATCGGGGGGGAGGGGGGGGGGGGGGGGGGAATGGGGAGAGGGGGAGAGTTGGGATTCTCAGGACCGGAATCCCCTCGCCGTCGTCGATGCGGCACCACGGCGAGACGGCGAGGCGGAATCGACGAGGGGCAAGACGAATCGTCGTACCTCGTCCCACGACGGAGCGGGCGACGCGGCGGGACGGGACCATTCCACCTGGTCGTCGTCGTTTGGAGGATGGAGGAAAGGCGCGTAGGTCAGTTAGAGTCAACGAGGGTATGGAGGGACAGGGAAGGGGGGGTCCGCAACGTACCGAGACGAGAGTCGAGATGGTTCCGAATTCGCTGATCTGGTCGATGTGCAGCGTCGGTCTGGCATCGATCTGCTCTTTGCTCGGCTCGTCTTCGGTTAAAGTGACATCCTGACCCGTCTTGACGTCGACCTCGACAAAGGAAGGGGGGGTGGAGGAAGGAGCCAAAGGGTCAAGGGGGGAAAACGAGGAGCGGATGATGCGTCGCTGCGAAGAGAGGACCATCTCCCTTTCCCCTGCTTGAGCTTGAGCTTGATCGGGGCGGAATTGGATGCGGGTCGGCGGTGTACGGTGGTAGTCGCTGGGTAAGCGGGAGTGCGGTGGCATCTCTCCCGCTTTCGGGGACGACCACGCCGAGGGGGAAAAGGAAGCAGAAGACAACGACGACGACGACGACGAGGGCGAGAGGGCGAGGAGGAGATCGACGTCCGATTCCGGCAGCATCATCTCCATCTCGGCCCTCGTCTCGGCGCCGTCGCCGCCTCCGGGCCTGACCTCAATCTTCCCCTTCTCGTCATGCTCGTGCACCACAATCTCCACCCTCCCCCTCCCCGCACCCGTACCCGGCGCATCGGCACCAACGACATCTTGGTAGACGAGCGACGTGTACCGCCGTACCTCTCTGCTCTTGGCGTCCCATCCCATCCCCTCCATCGCCGCAGAGGACGAGGAGAGGAGCGAGGCCGGGACGGCGGGTAGGAACGTGCGTTGTCCTTCTTGGTTGGACAGCGAGGAGGAAGGGGAGGGCGGGCCACGAGATGATGGGACGAGGTGGTCGAGCAGGTGCGGGAACGGCCAGAGACCCGGTCGTGGATTGCCCAGCGGGTCGAGGACCGCCGACGCATCCCCGTCCTCACCCTCGGCCACGGCATCGGCATCGGCGGCAGATGCGGCGTCGCTCCGACTGTGGTGGACAATGTGGCCCAACGTGGCCGTATACCGCATCATGGCCGGTGCCGCGGCGGTGTCGTCGCCCTGACCGGCCTCGTCGACAGCGCCGACAACGTCGCCGTCGTCCGGTCGAGCACGAGCGCGACGGCGACGGACGCAGAGGTCCCGCAGCGCCTCGAA